CTATAGCGTGGATAATTAAGTTCCCGAAATTCGAGGACCAGTATGTACAAGGGGTTTTTAGCTAGCGGAATTTCGAGTAATCTTACTACAGCACGAAACATTGCAAAAACGCATAATCGCACGGGGCCCCCCAGTGCGCGTCGCCAATGATTTCATTTCGAGACCTACAAAAGCTACAGGGCCGAAACTTTGGGGGCTTAGTCTACATGCACGTCGGCCCCCCATCCCCAAAGTGGACGGTCTTACCCGCGTGGTACCCACATAACAACCCGCCAAAATTTTTTACGGGTAAGCTGCTAACTAGAGAACCAGAAATGCTGGAAGGCTGAAATCTTAAGAGGATGTTCCCCGTTCAAGTAGGTGTCAATGCACTGAAATTCATCTTCCGGGTAAGCGTGGTACTCTCGTACGGGCCCGCCAAAACTTTTCCCGGGTAAGTTCATAACTCGCGAGCCAGAAAAGCTAGAAAGCTGAAATCTTAAGGCGATGTTCCCGCTCAAGTAGGTATTAATGAGCTCAAACCTGGCCCCCGCCTAAGCGTTCGTGAAATTTTTTTTCGGGTAAGTTGATAACTCAAGAACCTGAAAAGCTAGAGGACTGTAATAGTAAAAGGATGTTCCCTGTCCACATTAGTCTTGAAGAGCTCAAACCCAGCCTTCGGGTATACGTGGTACCTACGCACGGGTACACCAAAGTTTTTCTCGGGTAAGGTCATAGCTCGAGAACCTGAAAAACTAAAAGACTGTAGTTTTAAGAGGATGTCCCCCGTCCAAGTAAGTCTCAACGAGTTCAAACCCAGATACCGGGCATGCGTGGTACCCACGCGCGGGCCCGTAAAAGCTTTTCCCAGTAAATTGCTAACTCAGGGGCCAGGAAAACTAAAAAGCTTAAATTTTAAGGGGGTGTTTCCTGCCAATTCTGGTGGCCAGTCTTAATTTGTTTAGCTACAAGAATTTGCTAAAAAAACCGATGCCGGTAGTGACAAAAACTGCGGGGAACTATACAAAAAACGCATCTTCGCATGAGCAGCGCGTGCGTTGGCCAATTATTATCAACTGATTTAATACCACTAGGGTAAATTTTGTACTATTTATATACACTTAAGACCATCACCCAAGTCTTTTCCATTTTTCTTCACAAGCGGATGGTTTTGGCTTGGTCTCAGCATCAAATGGAACTGCTACCCTGGAAACATGCCCCTGTTTATTTTTTATTTCCCCTTAATTATTCTTAATATTACATGCTTCTGAATACCGTGATAAACAATGAACCTGTGTTTCAACATCGATCGGAAATCAAGGCCAACTTCGGATGTGACAAGTAGCTTTACCGATGCAGAATCTTTTCCATGTTTATTCTCAACGGTCAGTGTGTAAAGGCCATCATCATGCGCCTTGCACTTCTGCATAACAAGAGTTACGGCGTTCTCGTTTTGATCCGTAACAACACTGAATCGTCCACCAGCAGGAATCTAAATTTAGAGTCAATTGAGAAGTAGTTATATTTTAGGACTCGTGATAGATTTTTTGTATTAATCTGCTTTTTTAAACAACATTAGTTCAGCTTTATCCTCCCTTCTCCTTGCCCCTTTCGCTGTTTCGCAAGCACAAGTCTTTCACTGACATTATTACACTGCCTTTCACGATATTCATTTTTGTGCACTTGCTAACCAGTTTTTATGCGTTTTTGCATATTTATGCAAACATAACCCAGGCTCTTGGTGCGATCGTGCGTTTTTGCATCAAAATTGAAGTATTCAGATCGGTAACTAAATGCACGAATGGTTGTTGCTTTACACCTACTTGTGCGCTCGCTAGCGTAAATCATCGTAAATTTTGCATAAAGAAAAATGAACAATTTTCAGTTAGCGGTCGTTCCTCGAAAATGACCTTGCTCTTCAATGAACAATTTCCACATCACAACTTTTAAGTGCTTGTACTTGAGCACCGCATGTACCTAACGTTGAAATTCTTAAGTTGCACATGGACGGGGGACATCTTTTGGGAACCACACACCTAGAGACCGAATTTGAAATCTTTAGTTCACATATAAATAGAAAATAAAGCCCTGCAAAGTTCCGGCTTTCTGTCTTGTCTGGTTCCCGTAATCGCTTTCTCGCCAAAAAATTCACACATTTTTTTGAGATGTTCGTACGTGAGATACGGGTGATAATATTAAAACGGGAAAGTCACACAGTGGTGGGCACATACTCCAGATTATTCAGTTTTCTAACTTTTCTGTTTCTTGAGCTGGAAGCAACAGACAAAAAGCGCCAACACACATACACACAGACAGCCTCTTGCCAATGTGCGTTTTTGCATTTGCATATATACAAAAAAGTATGTAGATGTGTGTGAGTGAATATGCATATGTCTGTGTGTTTACATTTTGTTACGCACTTTCAACCCGAGAACTTGCGCTATAGCGCTGCTATAGGGAGCAAAA